TCAAGGTTTTTTTTTTATCTTTAATTGATGATTTTTCAAGAAAAGTATGGGTATGTCTTTTGAAAAAAAAAAATCATACACTTTTGAAAAATTTAAAATTTTGAAAACTTTGATTGAAAATCAAATGGATAAAAGATTAAAATTCTAAAAAAAGATAATGGATTAGAATTTTATAATGCTGTTTTTGAAAAATTACGTAAGATGGTGGCATTTTGAGACATAAAACAGTACCATATACTCCACAATAGAATGGTATAGCTGAGATGATAAATAGGACAATCCTTGATAAGGTTAGGCTATGATGTTCAGTTCAGGTGTCCCTAAAGTGTTGTGGAGGGAGGCTGTTATGATAGCAGTTTACGTCATAAATAGGACCCCAACTAGTGCATTAGATGATAAAACACCTGAGGAAGGATGGACATGTAGTTGGCTGACTATACACACTTAAAAACCTTTGGTTGTGCAGCATATTCATACCAAAGTGTAGGAAAACTTGAGACTAGGTCCCAAAAATGTGTTTTCATGGGATATCTTGAAGGGGTAAAGGGATACATGCTTTGGGTGAAAGAAATTGGGGGTTTTAAGACAATAACCAGTAGGAATGTGACCTTCAATGAAAATGAAATGCCTTTGCTTAAGTAAAGAAGCCTCTAGAGAGGTGCCTAAGGGCCAGGAAGAAGAAAATATTAGGCTTGAGGTGGAACTTGAACTTTCACCTAATCACGTTGTTGAAAATCAAGATGAAGATGAAATTATGGAAGAATTAGGGAATGAAACTGTTCAAGTGCCTACTGATGAATTAGTGAACCCCTTAAGTGATTATAAGTTAGCTAGAGATAGGGTTAAAAGAGAATTAAGAGAGTCTACTAGGATGCAAGACTATATGTCTCTAGCTATGTTGTCTTATCAGGAATTAACCTTTAAGGAGCCTAAAACCTATGAAGAGGCCATTAGTTGTCAGTTTTCTAAGGAATGACAACTTGCTATGGAGGAAGAAATGAGGTCTTTAGAGAAAAATAAGACTTGGAGCTTAGTGCCTAAACCTGAAAATAAATCTCTAGTTGATTGTAAGTGGGTTTATGCGGTAAAAGGAGGCAATCCCTCTAATCAGCCCCTTAGATTTAAAGTCAGATTAGTAGCTAAGGGGTTTACTCAAAAACCTGGTATAGATTACAATGAAATGTTTGCTCCCGTTGTAAAATATAATACCATTAGAGTCATACTTGCATTAGTTGCACAATATGATTATGAATTAGAGCAAATGGATGTTAGAACTGCGTTTTTGTATGGTGACCTTGATGAAACCATATATATAAGGCAACCACAAGGTTTTACTGGTAACAGAAAGTCTGATCATGTATGCCTGTTAAAAAGATCTCTTTATGATCTAAAACAATCTCCTAGGCAATGGTACAAACGCTTTGATAATTTTGTGTCTTCAGTTGGTTTTGTGAGAAGTTCCTTTGACCATTGCTTGTATTTTAAAAAGGATAACAGCAACTATGTGAGTGTTTATTTGCTGTTAAATGTGGATGATATGTTAATTGGCCAGAAAATTAATGATATAAATAAGATTAAAAAGGTTCTAAGTGTTAAATTTGAAATGAAGGACCTAGGGCATGCTAAAAGGATTTTAGGGATGGATATTAAAAGGAATAGGTCATAGCAGCTATTACTTTTGTCACAAACTGATTATGTGAAAAAGGTCTTATCCAAGTTTGCTATGCATGATTCTAAATCTGTGACATTACCCATTGGATGTCATTTTAGGTTGAGTAAAGATCAGTGCCCACATGATGATTCTGTCATTAAATGTATGGAAAAATTACCATATTCAAATGCTGTTGGATTTGTGATGTACACCACGGTTTGCACACGACCCGATGTTGCACATGCTATAAGTACCTTAAGTAGATTTATGTCCAATCCAGGCCCAGAACATTGGAATGCAATGAAATGATTATTAAGGAACTTGAAAGGCTCAGCAGACTTCGCTTATGTTTTAGACCTAATAAAAAGGGAGTTAGATTAAAGGGATATGTAGATTATGATTATGCCGGTGATAGAGATAACAGGAAGTCAACTACAGCATATATGTTTACTTTATGTGATACTTGTATTAGTTGGAAGTGTCAATTGCAATCTATTGTAGCTTTATCAACTACAGAAGCTGAATATGTGGCTGCAACCGAGGCTATTAAAAAGGCCTTATGGCTGAAAGGTCTCCTAAATGAGATAAATAAATTTGTTGATCCCGCCGTTCTATATTCGGACAGATAAAGTGCTATACATTTATGTAAAAATCTAGTTTTTCATGAAAGAACTAAACACATAGATGTAAGAATGTATTTTATAAGAGATATTGTATATAAAAAAAATATTTTGCTTGAGAAAATCCCTACTCAGTTTAATTCCACTGATATAGGTACTTAGGTGCTTCCTCTAAAAAAGTTTAAGTCATGTTTGCAACTTTTAAGAATTGATACTGGGTAAATTTTTTGTTGGTGCAAGTGTATATGACTTGGTGTTGATGATCTGAGAGGATTTATATCAATTGCTTGAGAAGCCTATTAGTATATTTTCTTTGTCTTTGTGTTTTTTGATCATTGGCATCAAGGGAAAGATTTAGTGGGCTGTGATGTCAAATTATTTTTGGTGGATCAGCCCATTTGAGCTATGATGATAAAAATACATGACCCAACATACACTACAGGCTCTTGCCCAATAACGTATTGAGTTGGATATATATAGACCTGGTCCGAGAATTTTGCCCTAATTTTTCTCTCTAATTCTCTCGCCTCTTTGTGTGATTCTTGGAGAAGCTTTTGGGTCTCTCTCCTTCGAATGACTGTGTGTCTCCCCTTTCATCTTTTTCTTGAAACTTGTTCTTTGGCCATTAAACTTTTTTAGTTTTCTGGCAGATTTGTGAGAGAGGAATCTTTGTGATCCTTCGTTTTCGAACTGGAAAGGGTTTTTCGGTCAGTTGGGATTGTTGAAGTGATTGTCTCTGTATTCCTTAATTTAGGGTCAGTTTCTTGTGAGATTCAACATTTGTATAGAAGGGTATAAGGAGTAAACTGAGCCCAATCGATGAGAACTTGATGTTTTAGTGTGAAATCTTGGTTCTGCTATTTTTAGTCGAACTTGGGTCATTATTGTAACAGTTTTATACTTATTTAGTTACTTTAGTGGTTCACCACCAATTGTTTTACTTTTGATTATGGATGCGTGGTTTTGCGATTGGTGGTGGATGTGGTTTTAGGGGTGTTTTTCATTTTCAGTGATGCAAGTAGATCTAGCTATGTTGGTGGTGGATTTTGGCTTTGGTGAGGTGGTGTGGCAATAGATTTGGCACTATTGGTGGTGCAGGCATTGGGCTACGACAGCGATCTTGTTGGATGGAGGGTATTTGAGACCAATAAATTGGTTAATTGTAGTTAATAAATTGGTTAATTTGTGACAAATAAATAATATGTGACTTAAATATGTGATTGTGGCTTACAATTTATTAAGTTATGATCAAGAAATAACTTGTGACCAATCAAATTTGATAATTTATGATCGTTAAATAAGTTATAAATTATAAAATTTGTGATTTGTGGTCAATAAATAAATTGTAATCAATTCAATTTTTTATTTTATTTTATGACTAATGAGTAAATTGTAACTTATAATTTTTTATTTGTGATCGAGAAATAATTTATGACCTATAAAATTTTGGATTGTGACTTATAAATTTTTTTATTTTTGGTCTAGAAGTATAATTTGTGACTAAATTGTATAGAATTATGACTTTAACATATTTAATTAATGAAATATATTTTTAATTAATTATTTCATTAAAAAAAATTAATAATATATGATTTTTGAAGTTTTAAACATTGTTTCTTAATTTTCAAGTGGATCATAGTTAAACCCTTAGATATGAAATTTTCCCAATGTTTAATTCTCTCTCTCTATCCCATCAATAAATTGTTGTGTGAGTCCCGAAATTGCCTATAACCATAAAGATTTCTATACCATACCCGTCTTAGGCTCGAGGAAGCTATTTTAGATCAACTTTCTCTAAAAATTTTCTACTCAGACAAATTATTTTCTTAAAATAATCCAAATATGTTAAAAAACCTTCTTAATCTCAGAATTAAATTTTAATTTAGCTTTTTAAAAGTCTGCCAAATAGACCGTACAATATCAGAAAAGCACTTATGGGGTAAAATGGTAAATCACTTTTTCTATATTCTTTATTCTCGTTAACATCCGTATTTTTTCTTGTAATATATTTGAACGTGTACGAAATACAATTTGAGATCGATACCATGCCTAATTAAATCTCACCAACAATGACAATTTGTACAACATATGCAATCAAATATTGCACTAGGAATGGAATGAAATCTGCTAAATAAAAAAGATTTGTGATGACTATACAAATTTATTTTGCGAATTTCAACATTTTCATTTACATGAAGATTGGATATATTAATAGTGTTGGTATAATAATTTACGCATTATAATCAAAAGAGAATGATCTAATAAGCATCAATGCACATCTTATGCTAATATGAATAAAGCATTATAAGTCGTGAATTCCAACAAATTTGGGTTAAAAAGTGAAGAGAGATCGTGGATCCTATGGAATTTATCAATAAAAAGAAAGTCTGATAAGTGAGCTATTAGTAAAATTGTGAAGCATTGCTTGTGCTGGTAAGTTAATCATGCACCATAATCACTGACGGATCCAACTTTCGACATGAACACGGGCTAATACAACAAAAAAATAATTTTTTTAAAGAGGATTTGGGATGGATGGACGGGCTGTAGCACTGGCCTGCCCGTTCCTGAATCCGCCCTTGACCATAATTTTGGATTCTATAAATAATGTGAAGTACTTTTCTCCCATTTGTGGGAATGCAGTATTTTTCAACTTTTCACCTTTGGAGTGATTGTGTAAATCTTTGCATAATTAAACTATCTTAGCAAGCCATGATAATATAGGGTCATTAGAGTTTTCTAAATGTCTTCTCCTTAGATGGGTGCCAATCATTTTCAGCAGCCAAATGTCCAAAATCTTACCAATTTCGATCAGTAATTCAAATGAGATCCACATACCTTCCATTACTCTAAAACTTAATGTACTGTACCATAAGTTTAGACTCATTAGCAAATTGGTACTGATAAAAGTGTTCATAATTTACAAAGAATGTACCAGCTAAAAGTATGAAGGGTGCATAAGATTGTACATTTCTGAACTAATCCATCTTCTCCACCAACTTCAGGCCATAAGCTTCCAAAATATCCAGCACTGAGTGCACAAAAAATAACATACTTCAGTAAACTTAGGAGGAGTTCATGAAGTGCTAACAGTAGAAAGAAAAATCATCTATAAATAATATACTATGGTGAAAGTTAAGGGGCATTTGGGACAGAGTATTGAATATTATTGGAGTGAAATGGAACAAACTCAATGGTGCATTAAACGATCAACTTATTCTAGTTCTGGAGGACCATTGATTCTATGGTTTTGTTGCATTCATGATAAATTGTGTAGGGTGAGGTCTGAAGCAAGTTGGGAACTGCCTCTTGAATGCTTAACAAAGCTTGTTGGTTCCTTCAATATATTCAAACTATTCATCAGGCAAGATAGGTCTACCCAAGCCATCCAGTAAGGGAGCTAGAGTTAGGATTGTAGAGTTGTGGAGGCAAATTTCTATAAATAAAATCGTGAGAGCAAAATTCCGAAGCACAAAATTTTAAATGCAAAATCAATAACTATAAGAATTTTTTTGAAAATCTTGCACAAAATCTTGGATTTGAAATTTAGTGTTAGGGTAGTTGACTTCATTGACCCCATACTAAATCGGCCATTGCATCCAGTTGAGCCCAAATGGTGAATTTTGATTTACGCATGCAGTAACCTAATATAGGCACAGTCATTTTATTGATCTACGTCTTTAAAAATCAAAGTTGTTTGCACGGTCAATTTCTTAGACTAGCAGATAGATTCAAATCTCTCCAAAACCTCTCACCAAAATGGGTGCACAGCTTCTCTTATGGATGCACATTATTAATAATCAAGCGCACACGAAAGAAAGAATGGTAGAACTTGCATTTAATTGGATCCTAGACCAAGCCAATTGGGAGAGGGTCATATAAAGTTCATGAATTTACTAACAGAGGCATGATGTGATTTCCATAGTCTTCAATACTAAAACGATCAGATTGACCATCTCAAGTAGGTAAGAGCATGTATTCCAAGTGTCCATCTACAAGGGACAAGAGTCTAAATATATAAAACTAAACACTTGAGATGCTAAACCCTAGTGAAAACAAGCATTTGGTAATTAGTATTGAGTGAATTTTCATGGGAAATGGTTAACTACCTGAAAGATAAATACCAGAACCGAAAAAGAAAGCCAAGTAAGGCATACCTGGCACGTAAATTTCAGGATCAATAGGCCTTAAGACGCCCTTTGTATCAATTTTATTCTGGAGCATGAGCTGTTCGTATAAAATTACATAACATCATTCCAATAATATTTTCCATGTTGTGATATAGTAAATTAAACATAATTAAAACAAGCAAATACCAGAGCTCCAATGGCTGCAGGGATCCCAACAGTAAGAGCCATTGCAGTGGTTGTCTTGCCATTCTTAGTCCTTCCACATTCCAATAGAGTTGCTCTGTGGTTTTCAGTCCGTTGACCATTTGGGAAATCCACTTCTACTTCATGGTGCATCAGCACCATGTCCTGGCCAGAATCGTATTAACTATTTAACCATCCTCCAAGAGAACAATGTTACAATAAATTGATATCAATCGGTTTAGCAAGTAAAATTATAGAAATCACCTTCTCTGTCCCAGAATAAGCCAATCTTTCTTCCATGCGGAGGCAGGTAACGTCAAATGCACTTCGACAGGAATTTGGTATTTCTGATTCCTCATGAAATCCCAGAAATCTAATGAAGGATAAAACAGGACTTTGAGAACATGATTTGATGAGAAAGTTTCTTTGAATGAAATAGCAACCAAAAAGATTCAAGAAGAATGTATAAGGGGCCTGATCATCCCGAACATCATAGTAATGGATAGACCATCTACAGCTCAAAATAGAGACTAAAGTATATCGACACTATTAAGAGGTAATCAGTAAATGTTGACCATACAAGGGACCTGCTCACCCAAAAACATAGTGATGGATATGCAATCTACGGCTTTAAAAAGGGGATAGGAAAATATAATAAAATATTAAGAGCTAGTCATTCAATGTTTCTGATAACAGCTTTGGTATAACACCATTAAAGCTTACACTATAGTTTTGGCTGTCTGTATTGCAGTTTCTGTCTCTTTGCAAAGGCCAAGGGAAACAATGGTTTCCATTATGTCTTTCTCCCATATTGCAGTTTCATTCAAGTTTCCATTACGAGTTTTGAGAAGTGAAAATAAAAAAGTTCTATATGTGGGTCTTTTCTGATTCTCAAGGATAGGGATGACCTCAGTGCTAAAGAAACCAATTCTTGCTAGTGATCCCATTATATTGCCAAAACCTGCATGACATATAAATCCACAAATTTCATGTAAGTAATCAAAGGAGGGAAAGATCAGGAATAAGGAATTGTCTGCCTCGAATTCTCTTTTTCAGGTTAGCAACAATCCGGACTTTTGAGGTCCAATTTGAAACTGAAAACTACCTATCTTGGTGCCCTTCTGCTTGCAGACAGCCAAAAAGCATCAAGTTGATTAACCATTAAATTTAGTTTAAAAATGACAAAACATATACCAAAAACATATCTTGCCTTCATATCTTAGGGTTCCACGAAAGATGGTTGATGCTTCATTTTCTATTCCATATAGGTCACCATAAATTAAGGAGTCTCGATTTGGAAGGCATTCCAATGCAAAAGCTGGGAAATCTGCCAGCCGAAGCCTTTTAGCAGAATCATAAAGGTTCTCCCCTGCAAGTGTGGACTATACCATTAATAGAAAATGGATAACAAGTCAAGGAAGATTATCTTGGTACGAGATTATATCACCACCTCCAAGTTGGCTGGAGTAACTCAAGCTAGTGCTAAAAATACTGTGAGATTACAATGGAATATAGGAGCAATTTAAGGACTTAACTGATCTGATGACATGTAATGTAAATTACTGAAATGACTGTGATCATTCACACATAATATTGTTCAAAAGCAATCACTTAAAATACCTGCAACTTAAAAGTATAAAGAGAAACAAAATTGTAGGTGATATATATTAATATTGAAGGAGACACAATGTGCATATACATATAACCAATGGAATATAGGAGCAATTTAAGGACTTAACTGATCTGATGACATGTAATGTAAATTACTGAAATGACTGTGATCATTCACATATAATATTGTTCAAAAGCAATCACTTAAAATACCTGCAACTTAAAAGTATAAAGAGAAACAAAATTGTAGGTGATATATATTAATATTGAAGGAGACACAATGTGCATATACATATAACACACACACACACACACATACAGATACTGATACAACGATTATTAATGCACCACTAGACAAAATAAATAGATTGATTCTTTCATTGATTAGCAACAGGAAATTAGCATTATGACTATTCACAACTCACCATCAACATGTACAACTTCTCCATGGTATCTGTAAGTTGAAGGATTCCGTCCCGCTCGTATAGCCCCTGCGGGACTCCAACTGAAAATAATGTAGATAATATGACTCGCGATCTCTTAATTTTGTGATATAGTCTTTATATTTAGGAGCTTAGACTAAATTTAACATCATATACTAGAATAGTAAAGTTGAACGTTATCGACTACAAATTTATTGAACATGTAGAGATTATGAAAATTATGAAGATGAAAGTTGTTTAACTCTTTCCAAGGAAAAGAACATGTGGACACTGGTGGGCTTTTTTTACAGAATAAGCATAATCCAATTCTTAGGTTATATAGTTCTCTGCATTTGAGATAAGCATCATTTGCAGATGTAACCGCAATTAGCACATCTTATATACAGCAAGTTCCACAGGAACAAATCAATCTCATATTGCAATTGTTCCACTGGAGTAGAAGTCCAAAGTGAAATCATACCTGAATTTGTAAGCTAATGGGTTGTTTGCTGATTCAGGAGAAGGAATACCACCACAGTAAGAAATGAAAGACTTGATCCTTCCCCCACGTACGTGGGCATGATTAATCATCTTCATTGCCATCATGTGGTCTGAAATGTAAAGTCAGTACGATTAATAAAATTTGGATGAGAGGCACTGTCCACAACTGTTACATCGGCCTTGTCCGCTGTGCGGTTTATGCCTTATTCATAAATACCATTCTAGTTCATTTCTCCAAATTTTGCATTATTGCAGGTGCTAAATTGTATGTTTACCATAATTTTCTACTATATTTTGCCTAATACAACCTATCATTTTTATGTCTATGCACATGTTGATCATATGAAACCACTAATAGTTCTTAGTAATAACCCTCAGGATAAGTGTAACGATTAAAATATATCTGGATCAGGATTACCTATTCCAGGGTCCAAGCCCATCTCACAAAGAATTGTAACACCAGACCTTTTGGCTAGTTCATCAAGCTTGGTTGTGGAATCATCAACATAGCTAGCTGTGACGAGATGTTTCTTAAGCTGCATCAAGAGGCATGATGTTAAATGTTTCAAAGTGAGTAAAGAAGCTATCAGAAAAAACTTATTATAATTCATATTTACAAGAAAGTATATTATATGAGTAACAGTGAGGAATATCAATACCTGAATGCATGCACCTCCTACGGTACTGTGGCAACTAGGAGGCAGTAAACTGATGACAACATCAACCTGCATAGTGGATAGGGCCAGGAAAGGTATTTATAGGAAGAGACAAAATCAACGTTTAAGTACAAGTCTTAAAATGTATTTTAGAACGACAGGCATCAATTATCATAGTAAAAGCATCTTGATGTTCAAGGTTCACTGGATGCTGCGCCTATCCGAGCATACCAGTTTCATAGATAGACTTATTGATGAATTTTTCAATCAAACATTTTTCTCAAAGTAAAAAAGAGGTGCACAAGATTACCTGTGAAATGTAATTATAAAGACTCTCCTGATTCATAACATCAAGTTGAACAGCTGTAGCATTTGGAATACCTTCAACTATCTGCACTCCAATATTGTGAAATTAGATTTCAATGTAAAAGGAGCTAAACTCATGTGGCTTGCTGAAACCTCAAAGAATGTGAAAATTTCCTTAAAAGACAGAATTGAAACTGTTTGACGAGAAGATGAATTAATCAAAGAGAATAATGTACAAAGTGATTACAAACCAGTTGTTGCCATGCAATTATTAATAATTCATCTTTTATTCGATGAGAGCTGAACTGACAGTAATTAGGGGGTAAAGAAAATCTTTTTTCTTTTCCCTTTCTTCTTCACTGTTTTTAAACAGACGAGAGACATTAAGGACAGTACCAAGAAAGATATATTTCAAACGTACCTCTTCTGCATCTTTTAGAAAAAGAGAAGCAACAATAACTTGAACACAAGTCTGCTCTTCAAGATCGCCTATCCTGAATGATTTTAACCATTCCTGTGGTGAATCGCTACCAATTGATGTCAGAAATTCTGCAGCTGGCCGACAAACCCGACCAGCACCCAAAATGAGAACAGAAGCTTTTTTCTCTGTGTCAGCTTCCATCTCTACTGTGTCTTTGAATCTACCAACCTTCAGAGATATCGTATTTTTTTTCCTGCCTTTAAATTCCTTACTTTCATTTGGGTTAGCAAGTGAAGTCAAAGAATCAACAATTTTGTCTAGAACTAATTTATCATCTGCACCAACCTGTCAAAATAAGTACATATATCAACAATAAGAAACCAAACAAGGAAGCATTCAACAGGATGCAAAGAATTATAAGATACCAGGAACCTATTGGTATTCTATGTACTCAACTACTAAGAATTACTGGATGTCATTACACATGTAACATTTAATTTTAGGAACTGGTGCCTGAAAAATGGTTTTGATGGTCACTATATTCATGCCTAATGGTTTGTTCTCTGCTATTATTATTATTATTTTTTTTTTTTTTATATATCTATCTACTTCTCATGATACCAGTTTTACACAATTCAAGCTTAAGATTTCAGACGGATTCATAATTCTGTTAACAATTCGGCACTAGTTTCTTATGTTATTTTCCCTTCTCAACGACATCTATATATATCTACATTGGAATTATTTGAAAGATCTGCTTCCTGGGATCATCTGACTCCATAACAAAGTGGAAAAATTTCATGTACTCAAAGGTAAACTTGCTGGTGCTTAACGTCTTTCTGAAAAATATAGCAATAAGTGGTATCTAAAATGCAGAATTTGTGTATATCTTTCATATGTACACTTCACAAGCAGTCCTCTTATAGAAAACACTATTGGACAACAGCTTACTTACTTTAAGTTCTGAATAAGACATAGCATTTGTATTTTGACCAACTTGGCACGTCACTAAGTGGAAAGAACCACTGGCTGCTTCAATGATATCCAGAGCCTCGTTTATTAGGAATTGATCAAACAAATGACCACTCAGAGAAATCTACAGAATCATGTCAACGATAGCAATATTAACTAGATGCAACTATAAGAAAAACAAATAGTGACTTACCAAAATATTATTTTACTCAGATACAGAATGATACAAGACAGAGCATAAATGCATAAGGAGATTGAAAACCCAATTCTCCTTTCTCCCTCTCAATGATTCCAATCCCCCCCACCCCCCAAATAAACCAACGAAAAAAGCCTAAGAAAAGCAGCTAAGAAAACACAAGCTTATAATACATGCAAAGTCAATGGAAATGTACCAATGTAGTGTACTTCATCTTCACAGGGTGAGCAGCTTCTGAAGGTTTTGAAACATCCCTGTCAAAATAAATATATGAATATTCAAAAAGAAAAATCTGGATATCCATACTATTGCGCTCAGAACAAAACCAACATTTCAACAGAAACTAGACAAAAAATATGTCATGGCACAAAACTTAACTCGACAGAATCTTATTCCGTACTTATCACACTCGTCTGCCATTGACACAAAAGTACTTTGGAAATAGATATGAATTTAAATAGGTAAATTCAAGGAAAAAATTGTGAATTATCAAGACTTGCTTTTCCTCCAAGAAATACTCTTATGAATTGGTTAAACTTACCCCTTGAATCTGAACTTCATCTGTTTATCTTGTCATTATCTAGATGCTTCAGCTCCAATTCACACAGATAAGGTTTCCACCTCATGATATATTCTTTTCTCAAAGGAATTATGTAAAATACATACAATTGCCGTTTCCAACTCAAACTTGACAGCTCAGACATACAACGAACTACCAAACAGAAAACCACGATAATCTCTATATTACTTCCGTCGCATATATTACTCAAACTTGACTGCTCAGCACATATAATCAGCACTGATACCTGTAAACACATTAATACATACCGGATACATGTTTTTTATTATTTTATATATTTTTTAAAATTTTCGATATGTATCGAATTTGTATTTTTATTTATTTTTTATTTTTGATACGTATCCAATACATTAGCACACATGAAGAAGAGTGTTATTGATTTTAAATTCTTTTAACACTCATTGTTATTGACTATAATTGTAAAAAAAGTTTTTTTGCTTTCTTGAATATTAATAATATTTATTGAAAGTAAACAATTAGAGTTTTAAATTAATTAACTAGACTTTTTATTGGGAATGCACAATATTATTTAATATTATAATACATGTGAAACTGTATTAATAGTTGACAAATATATTTTTATTATAAGAAATAGATAGTAATAAGTATTAAATAATTGGAGTATGTACTCTTTTATATACTATATGAGAAGGAATAAAATAAATCTACAATGAAGTAAAGAATTGATTTTCATTCATAGCAATCTACGTTTTTTATTAAGAAAAATATATCTCTATTTAACAGGAGAATCCAAAATGTGGGGCATTATTGGAGACTTATTTAATACCCTTAAAGGTGTTGGATTGCTTGATGTTGTTAATCTATCGTTAGATGAACCAAAGTTGAACAGTGTTATTTTTAATGATAATGAAGAAGATGATGTTAATGTAGAAGAAACTAAAATTGTGATAATTAAGTATTAAGATAAAATGTTTTAGTATTTTTATTTTATTTTAGTATTATGCTTTTTAATTAAATTTTTTTATATTAATAAAATTATGTAAAATTTTGTAACACGTATCCTCATATCCCTTTTTTCTAAAAATAAAAAAATCATATCAATGTATCTGTATCATATTCAAAATTTATCCGTATTCGTGCTTCTTAGTATATAATTATTTGAGAATATCATTCATAAAAATACACTTCTGTTAGTGTTACCAGTGAAACCAATTAGCAAAAGGCCTCACTTCCACTAGCACGTTCTCTTATGTCAAACCTTGATTTCCAAGTGGATAATTAATCTAATGTGATAGAGCTAAGGATTTATTTTTATATTTAAATACAGGATATTATTTCATAACGTCAAACTCTATTGTTCAAACTAAATATTATGCAATAGGATTTTGCAAAGGACAACTAAAGTGACAAGTCAAAGCAACCTAGAGACTTTACGGTTATGTGAATGTGCGGTTTCAACCCATGCCCAATAAGGCTTGAGGCACTTCTTTTAGTTAGGGCAATTAAGTAATGTGCAGTAGATACGAGGAATCCTCTATATGTAATTTATGTAATTAGTAGGGATGGGCTTTTTTTTGGAAACTGGACCGAACAAAATAGAAAAGGTCGGTTTGGTTTCGGTTCATCTACTAAATTGATTGATTTTGGGAAAATCCATCGAAAATCGATCGGTTCTGTCCAGTTATCGATACTTCCTTGAGAACCAATAGGGAATTCGGTTCTCCCAAATTTCTCTTGTTGTTAGTACCAAGGTGCAGTAGATCTTTTAACACTAGACCCTAAAATTATCTCACGTTAAAATTTCATTTTCCATATGCTTCTTCTTCTTTTCTTTAATGGGTAATTAGAATTCAAAGCTAAATAATTTTATAAATACTTTACAACTTCATGGTTTTAATGCAACCCAATAAGATAAATACATTTTTAGTTCAATATTTCATAAAAATTCACATTTTTTGTTGATTTTGAAGCGACCAACCATCAAGAATCAAGATCCTTGAGGATTACTAAAGATAATCAAGTTATTATTATACGAATTTTCTTAAAAACTATTTTTCAATCGAGATTTTACCGTTTATGCTGTGTTTAATAACTTTTTTGGTCTTTATAAATTGAAATTGAGCTTTAGATTGAATTTTTGTTTCTTATCTTGTTCAATTGATTTTTTGTGATGTTAGATTAAAAAAATAACAAATGGTTTCATATTTCATATTTGTCTTTTTTCAATTGACAACTAATTTCATACTTTATTTTTATAATTTTTCAATATAAAGAACCGGATCGGACCGATTCAAAACCGATTGGTTCGGTTCCAGTTCGGTTCTATAGTTGGATATGAAACTAATGGTTCCATTTCTATGATTCCCATTGGTATTCTATTCGGTTCGGTACCATTCAGAATAGGATCGAACCAGAATGCTCCCACTTCTAGTAATTAGCAAGATTAAGCAAGATTGACAACCATATAAGGACACTTAAGATATACATCCTAAATACATAAAGTGATTCTAGGGAGCTGTATACGGTAAGCAAAATCTCCTATCCTATTTATAGCTTCGAATAATGAGTCGATTACAGATTAATTACAAGCACAATTTTTGGCCCTTTTATATTATACAAAATAATTATTGCTTTCTATTGACAGCTTCAATATGACAAAAGAGTCACATTTAGCGCTATTGAAGATTTTTTTTCTTTGTAACGTTTTAAACTTTTGGATGATGTGTTTCAACAAGCATTTGTGAACAAGAGTTTGAACTTAAATTATTCATTAATTCATCAAATCATATTAGAAACTAAGTTTGTGCCCCAAAAAAAAAAAAAAAAAAAAATGCAAATGATAGCAACATGATATGTACAACTTACTCAAGATCAGATTTCCGCATTCGAGGAATATATTCATACAAGGAAGTGAGCATTCCACCATGAACTATACATGCTCTTTGTAGATGTGAAGGTAACTCTTCAATATGTTTGGAGGAAGCTAAGCTTCGAATAAATTGGGAAAGAATATCTCCAAAATGTTGGGACGCCTACATTGCAAAAATCAATGTACCACATCAAAAATTCATCTCATCCATAGTAAATTTCATGATGGAAGCCAAAAATTAAGTTACTCTACCTCTCTTGCAAACTCTGTAGGAAGAATGTCTACAGCTGAACAGATCAAACCACTACCCTCCATGTCATGATGATATGAGTCATCGAAGGGATCATATCTAGAAGGCATTTTGACCAAATTATGAAGAACAATCAAAGATAAAATGTCAAGAGAAAGATATTCCTTGAATGGAGTAAAAATAAGCCAATGTATGAAATTATATTTCTTAATTATGAACTGATGCAGGCAGCCACATCATGAGACTTGCACTGAAAGGGCAGAACCTTGAATCGAAGCACCAACAACTTAAGGATTTTCTTAAAGGGAAAAATTATGATATCAGCTGACAAAGTGCAGAACACTGATAAAGTACCTAAAGAAAGGAGAGTCAATTAATGTAGTTTGGTTAACTAATTCTATTGAGCCTCCAATATCACAAGTTATATCAGCAATTCCCATGAGTGGACATCTGTTCCTCATCAGATTTTGCAGCTGCTTAATAGTCAATAGTCGAGGATATCTTTTTTCCCAATACATACAATTGACTGCAAAGAATTCAAAACACAAGCTAGATCATTCATTATGGAATGCCTGAAGTATTAGTATAAAAAAGTTCTACAGATGTTACATATTTGAAGATTAATGAAAAACATATACAACAAAGAGAGTCAGCAAAACAAATAATACTCGTCTGTTCATCTGTGCAGTGTTTAAATTCATTGTAACGAAGTCACTAGTAACCCCAACAAACAAGTTAAGTGGATTATAGACAATTTTAATTTACTTGTCATGAAGTTTTAGCAGTCTTCATACGCTAATTTGTGCTTAATATATTGAAGTTCGTGAAATAGTCAGCACTACATCTATATGTGAAGTGGTGCTCAATAATCAATGTTATAGCAGAACTCATTAGACTACTCCAAAAAACAATTTACAACATGGAACTGATAGTTCCCTTTATCCATTGAAAAAGTAACTAACACCAAATCAATGTTAAGTGAAGGATGCATAAAAAATGTATAGCCCACATAACACTAACCATTGTTTTCTCATGGAACTTAAATATACAATGATTAATTTTTCATTTTTTGGATAAATATAAAATTATTAATTTTTTTTGGCTTCCTACTACACTCAGGACAAGAATTTAAACCAGAGATAGAACTAAAAACTCGTGACACTGAGAGTGACAAATGAAACCAATTGAGGTCAAGTTTGTCCGTGATTCTATTATATTGCTTCAATATAGTTTACATAGTATCCTAAAGTGCAATCACATTATTCTTACTGGAATGAACGCATGAATAATATGAATTTTGAGAAAAACAATGAGATTGTGTGTCGAGAATCCTAAGAGAAGTTATAGCTCTACTACAACTAGGTTCAGAAGATATAAACCTTCTCTCAGTTTTGATTTCAATTTCGCAGCCTTCAGGGCATGTACGAGGAGTTAAATTTTCACACCCTCTTCGTGCCCCCTTCATTGTATATTTCAGAATATTGAATTGCTATTGCTAGTTTTTTTATTTAGAGTTTAAATCAATCAAAATATAATATGTACAATCCAAAAACTCATGCTAATTGTTAGTGGTTCAAAAAGAAGAGAATAGTCCAGACTGATGATCTTAATGATAGAGTAACACAATGTTTTCACTTCTACTACAATGTAATGATAAAATTCATGATTGTATTCCTACGCTAAAGACGAACTGAGAGCAATAAATACTGACCTATGACAGAAGCAAACGGGGCTATTTTTTCATGAAAAATAGGTCTATAGTTCTCTGGATGTGCATAATAGTCAACCTGACAAGAAAAAAATTGAAATTACAATAAAGCTGGTTAGTTTGATTAAAACAGATAAAAACACGAGACATTGAGTCAATCATTTTCATGATTTAATGTGGTAAAATAGTTGAGATGAAAAATCAAAAGAAAAAGTAATTTTTATCATTTTCTTGACTAAAATTTATATCATAAAATGCCTTTCCATGAAATAATCAAACATCCTCATTATGAATTTTAAATTTTCACATTCAAATTTGAAAAATCAGACTGTTAAAGGTCCAATTACGAAAAACTTGTTTCTGTGAGACAAGCCCCTAAACAAACTATTGAAGAGTATCTTTGACCTTAATTTATTTTTTTACTGTATATAACATAAAAACAGTATTACCATATAACCTTTGTTATTACCTCTGATTCTTGATTAACGGTGTTCATTATTGAGAAATTTCCTATCATCTTAAATTCAAACTAAAATTACTTTCCTATGATCATGTAATATTTAGGCATACTCAACTAAAAGATATAGAAAATTTGAACAAATTTCTACAATCCGTTGGATTAAGGAATATCTAAATGTGAATCTTATTAGACTTTAGTTGTTCTATTTGAGCATTTATGGTGATCTCTCTGTTTCAGCTTTCCATTTAACTTACATCAATATGGGTGGTTAAATTTCTTCTCAGTACAAAAACTCAAAATTATACTAGTGTGTTCGTATGTATGTTCTTTCGTACCACTTATAAAAAAGGTATATGTGCACACAAGTAGCATTTATCTAATCATGAGGAAAATGATATCATTGCTCACGTTCACCACATATTATATTATCAACTGGGATCAAACCCATCTAAATTTTGCTCATATGTAATCAATAAAATCCAATAATTGAAAACAAACGACAATGCCATACCTTATCAAAGAATTTTGAAGGATCTTTGTGTTCTACCATGTCTTGACTGGTCACAACACAACCATATACTTGAAAGACTCTTTTTGTTGCTCGTCCTAATTCAGTAGTATCCTTGGCCTAGTTACATGAACAAATATTCATTATGACAAAGTAAAAATCTATGGAAGACTAGGCTTCAGCTGAGAAAATTGGAAAAATAAACCAATGCAAAAAGTAAAGATGGCAAAGATCTAACTAGGTATGAAATTGTCAGAATAATCAAAAGGCCAATTAGAATAAAAGTTATTGCTAGGTAACAAGTACTTAATCCAGTCACAGCTACATAAGAAACCAAACAAAGCTAAATCATGATCTCAGACTATGTAATGCTCTCATTCAATTATTTGAAGCACTTGCATGCATATCTTGCAGACAAAGAACAGGCAGTGATGAAAATAACAACATTTCCATAACATAATTAATTTACTCGAGAAAAGGAATATTTCTTCCAAATCTAAAAATGGCAGTAATAGATAGTAAAGCATTGACAGCAAAAATTATGTGTTACAAAAGCCATCTATTCGGCCCTGGTTTATAGTTTAACTTGGTTCTTCCACGTCAATGCAGAATAATATAAAAGCCCTTTTTCAACCTTATAAATGAAGAAGGTATTAAGCTAACCATAGTTAGCAGATGAATTACACATTGAAAACTATGTTTATAACAGCTATCTTGAGCGAACATTCAAAAAAAATAAAAATAAAAATACCGTCTCAAATAGTCCTGGAAGTCTGCCTGGATCCACATAGACGTGAGGAAGTAGCTTAAAAATTTCTTGTGCACCCTGGGAAACTATAGAAATATCTCAAGTCATAAATAAGGTTTCATCTATTTCAGTTCTTAGAATCTTAGTCATCTAGTTATACATCTACATTGAATTTAAATAGTTATGTATAAGATTTCTCATATTGAAGAATAATAAAATTGCCAACAGGCAAGCAACAATACCATTTCCTGAACCAGTGAAAACAAATACGAGGGGACAGATTCCTGATGGAAGTCCAGCAGTAGCTATCTCTTCTCCAACAGAAATAACAGCAGCCTTTGCAGCAGCCAGTGAAGAATACATGTAAGATGCACCAAGTGAGAGAAAAGGCGTTGAATAGCCAAGATTAAGATACCCTGAAAGATAAACCATTAAATACTCATTACTAGATTGGAATTAATTGCCGAAGGTTCCCAAAATGGGAAGGACTTAACCTGGTAATTTTATTTAATAGTTATAATCATGTTAACATCTTCCACTATTTGATAAAGAGAAATAAATAAAGAAAAAAGAGAAGGCAATTTTTAAGAATATCAACTGAAGACACTCCAGAAACTATGAATATTCCAGACAGCGAGTACTGAGCTGCATACGTTGTCCTAGGCCATGCAAGAAGTCAACCATCCCAGCTCTTCCAGCAAATTTTCCAAATGCAAGCAATCTTCTACCATGATCTCCAACTATAAGCTCATAATCGAACAAAGCTGCCCTTTCAGCTAATATCTAAAGGTAAGACAGAGTGAGAAATTAAGAGCACAAATCTCTCAGAATATTTTTCTAGGTATTTCATAAGGCATACCTTATCAAGTAGAGGCATATTTTCTTTTTGTGCCTTGTGAGTATGAGAGAAAAATGCATAGGCTGTATCAGGAAGAATCATATCCAACTGCAGTAAACACAAACACAGAATATCTTAAGAGTTTTTAGAAGGCTTTGAAGTATCTAAAAGCAATGAAATGCACCTTTGGTTGTTTAATTCCCAATATGAGACCACATTCTGACAAGTCCTCCGATATGTCACAGCCAACATCTTCATAGAGAGCATCATGATGGATACGCTTAGTTGATGGTTGAACGATGATCCGGGTAACTCCGGTTTTCTTACTGCCACCATGCAACAGTCGGGCACAATGAGAAGGGGTAAGGGGAACCCTTCTCTCCCATTTATTTGTGGACTCAGATAGGATTCCAACAACTCCATTACCAAGCATCTTGTCCTTCTACCTGCATCAAATTTATCAAGAATTCATCACGTTGGCTTTCAACTTGTACAAGTATAAATGTACAGTTCTTGTTCCACGCGATCCAATCAAGTCTACACACCTAAATACAATAGAGGAGCAGCCTAAATCGGCAACCATAAAACAAATCCACAATCAAACTTCAATCAGTCGAGCACAGAAATAATTCCTACCCAATTTCAAACAAATTAAATTCTTCTTTCTTCTAATACATTACAAAATTCAAACCGAACAGGAAACCAGCATCAAATATATGCACATGAAGAGGGATGATCAATCAAGGGGACTCTAACTATACAGCAAGACAAACGAAAGAGAAAAAATCTCCTAAAAAATGGGAATAAATTTCACTTATTTCATAAGCTTTTCACTTATTCAAAATCTACTAATCAATTTCCACATAAACATCAGAAACGAGTGCGTGTAAACCAACAAAAACAAAAAGTCGATCACGGAAAGTAACGAACTTGTCGTTATGTATATACACAGCTTTCTCAAAAGAATCCCTTTTGATCAGAATCCTCTGCTTCTTCCGAAAAATGTCTTTTTGATCAGCGATAGATGAAGAAGTTGCCCTATAAGTGCGAAATCTCAACTAAATTTTGCAGAATGTGGCATTGCCTTGTATTGGATATTGATGTCACAGCACTAGGTTGGTTTGGTCATCACGGATTGCTCTTTGCCGTTATGGGAAAAATGTTTTAATTATTTATTCCTTTTTTAAAATAAATAAAAATAAAATAAAAAATAACAGACAGAAAATGTTCTCTATTCTCGTTCTTCGATCTCGACAGAAAAATTTACGGTCCTTATATTTTTACTTGTAACATATTCGACTAGTACTAAATACAATTTGACATTGACAGAAAATTATGCATTACGATTTGAATAAAAATGATCATTAAAACATCGACATTGATCTTATTCTAATTTGTAAGATTGTAATTTATTCTTTTTTGTTGTCGTTTTATTTAAATTGAAGGGTATTTTGATCATTTTATATTAAAAATGGTGAAAAGGATGTTTTCCGCAAAGAAATGTGGAAATTCGGGTAAAAATGTCAAAAAAGAAAGGTATGGACTTTTTTCACAATAAACCTTAAAGATATGGACGTTTTATACTAATTATTCTTCGAAAAAATTAATTTTTTTATCGTTATTCCACTATTTCAGCTTTCATTTTTTACTACTTTACTCGTAGATGAAACCTTTTTTTTTCTAACAATCGAAAGATTAATTCTCATAATCATTTTCAAACATGTCTGGAACTTTATCGAACATATACTTGCGTCTCGGAATTACGCATTTGATGGAATTGATCTGGCGTTTAATTAGTAAGGGGACCCACGTATATTGGTGAAAAGTTGCTTAAGGTTTGATCGTGTCATGGTACTTATCCTAATTCCAAAAGCGAATAACATATGAATAATTCTTCTCATAACATATTGGCTACCTTAAAATTTTGCTTATAAGTTAATTATAAGAAAATTTAAAAATAGTAATATTTTTATCGATAAAAATTAAGGTCCCATTTGACACCCATTGTTTCAAAAGTTAAAGATTATTGAATAATATTTTTTGAAAATGTGTGATTAAAAAAAAAAGAAAATTTTATTGTGTGAATGTGTGGTGGAGGATGATACTGTAGTAAATAATTTAAATTTTCAAAAGTTGTCAAACGGGGGCTAAATTGCACTTATTTATCTATTGTCCTAATAGTCGGCCAATCTTTAACGTCCTAAGGTTAGAAAAGTGAATTAAACTTACTACAAATACACATACCACATGTTCAAGTATTCTTAAAAGCAAGTTAAATTTGAATTTAAGTAAATTTATATTTTTCAACCATATTATTGATTAAGTTTGAAATAAGCGAAAACTTATTTCTAGATAAGTTTTAGTGGGTTATTTATTTAAAAAGAATAAAAAAAATCATGTCACTGACTTACTTTTAAAATTGGTAATTTATTTATTTTATAGTTAAAATAAATGTGTTGCTTGTGCGTTGGGATCTCTAAAAACTAATATTTTGAAAACAATTATGCATGTGAGTGCTTGATTGTGACGTCTAGCTAATGCAACAAAAAGAAGCCACGTGTATTATAAATTGAATAAAAGATGTGGGGCTTTCTGCATTTTGATTGAATAATCCTCCTCGGTGGGGATAATGACTGAAAAGAAGATGACATGTTGGTGTGATAGATAGTGATTGAATGTTGTATTTTTTTATTTTTTTATTTTTTGAAACTATCTAATTATGTATTGACATGTGTTCCATTTATCATTGAATTTGTTATTGACCATTTCACTGTAGCAAGATTGTCGTTGATTAACATCATTACTTATAATATTTAAAAAAAAAAAATGTTGAACCCCAATTTTGAGAGTCCTCACCGTCTCGCCCCTAGAGCTTTGTGGGGGGGGTAAATAGAGGGATGTGCCCCAACAGGCCAGGGAACAAAAGTTATCTGTACATTGCGCCTGCAAGAAGTCCAATTCCCTGTTTCAGGAATCGAACCCTCATAGTGCGGCTGCCAGCAAAGCGTAAGATAACCTCATTCCTGTCCTTTGCATCACTAGGCTATGCCCCGGGAGCACTTATAACATTTTGTAAGAAGTGAGGCGTGTTGAGTAGAGTCGAGTTGTGGACCTTTTACTTGAAATGTTGAAATGCATGTTTTATCTTATTTTAACACTAGGATGTGACATTTCGATAGATTGACATATTGATAAGTGTAATTTTAAATTTATTCGGACTTTATAAGTTTGTATTTGGGAGTTACTTTGATTGAATTGCTATCGAATTTTGTATAAGTATTGATTGTTGTAGGAGAAACTCGAAGTTGAACGAAAAATGAAGATAAAAAAGATTAAAGAAGAACAATTATGAAAGTTTGGATACTAAATTGTAAATCTCCAAAACTTAAGACAGACCAAGTTTGAATAATTATAGATTATGTGGATTAAACTGTGATAATTGAAAGATGAAGTATCCCTGATGCAAGCAAGAGGGGACTTGATCTGAAACAAATAAGAAATTCAGGGATCAAAATGAACTAGAAACAAAAGTTTGCACTGCGCGATCTATACCATGCGATATTGCGATAACAAGTATGCCAGAATTATTTTCAGCAACTCCAAAGACATCACCATGTGATCGCAAGGGATACTGTTTGCATGGCATCCGATACTATAAATATTTTTGTTTCCTAATCTAACTGAACTTCTAAATGGAATGAAATTTGGGGTCGTTTTTAACTAAATTATGGGGGTGCTAACAAAAATCTTATTATTCATTATAGAGAAAACAAGAATCTTAGAGACAAAAACCAACATCCTTTACACAAATTGAAGATCATTTGAAATTCGAGCGAACATAGGAAGATTGTTCAAGAATTATTGAAGAAATTCAAGAGTTCAAAATTATTTTTCATTTTTCTTTATACAATTGAAACCACGGTGATGTCTCATTATTTCATCATATGTTTCTATAATATTATGAGATCCGACTAATTTTCTAGACATTAGATGACGATGGAACTTATATTGTGATTTTTTAATTTCAAATTAAGATTTTGATGTTATATACTTGTTTAACTTGAATGATTGCTATGATTTTGTTTGAGAGAATATAAGGATTTTAGCACATGATAACTAAGCCTAGCTGTGACCAAGGCAACCTAGGCCATTGGCTAGGGTCTTAAAAAAAAAAAAATTTAAAAGTGAAAATTATATTTAGGGTTGTTTTTTAAGTTTGCATTTCATAAATAAGATTTTTAAGAGCATGTTTAATACTTATTATTTCTAAAATATTTTTCCCTCTTATTTTCAATCACAAATTCTTCGATAAAATAATATTACATGCAAATTCAAAATATTTTCTTATTTTTAATCACACATTCTCCATCAAATCAATATTCCAAAATGTTTAAAAAGGGCATCAAACATGCTTAGTTTCATCTTTCATAATTCGGATTATAATTAATTATTTAACATTTATTAATAAATATTCACATTTTCACTCTAATTACTCGCTCACAATTTCTAATCTCTCTCCACTCTCTTCTAATGTTGCACCCTAATTCAGCACCAATTTTTTTGGCACCCATTATGGAAACATAGTACCACTCATTCTGCACCAACGACACCGTCATTAAGATCCAGAGAAAGATTGCTGTTCCCCGTCGTACATTTAAGCGCTATGCAGAACACGTATCACCATTGCGAAGTAGTGACGATGCTAATGCAAGAGCACCTTCCTTAGTCGTGTATAGCAATGGCAATAATGCTTCTGCGAAATGGATACGACATGCCACCGTGGCACTAAACAATCGTCGCGATACTAAATCATAGTAAGATATATAACACTTCAGTGATGTGACAGATCTGTGAGATTGTTGACTAGCCCTATAGCATTGTTGATGAAAACGAAGGTGCCGTAATTGATCTGTGAAGTTGTGGCTGGTGAAGAATATAGCGGTGGAATGGGTGATCGATGACGATTTTGTGGTTCAATGAGATTTGGGTAAGCAGGGGCAAGCGAGTTTCTAATTTGTTGGGTGTGAGAAGATATAGTTTAGCAAATGGTGGTTGTAGGGGTGGAGTGGTGTCGGTGGTGGAAAATAGTGGTGGAGTGATGCTGCTGGTGGTGACGATGAGTGAAATAATATTTGTGATAGATTATTTGGGTGATTATGGCTAATAAATTGGTAAATTTGTGATCAATTCATAATATGTGATTGGTAAATTAATAATTTGTAACCAACAAATAATATGTAACCTAAAAAATGTGAGATTGTGACTAAGTTTGTATTATTGACTCACGATTTGTTAAGTTGTAACCAATTAATTTGATAATTTGTTATCAAGATATAATTTGTGACTCAACGATTTGATCATTGTTAATTTGATGCCTTTTCTTTGAGTTATGTTCTGTAAAATCATATTATGAATTGACGCTCGTTTATTTGGGTGTTATAATTTGAAGCGATTATCTAAGGTTTTATGATCATATAGGATGTCACAAATTGTATACTCGATGGTTCGGGTATAGTAAGATACAATTTGTGATGTGATCAAAAGTATGACAATCACAATAAGTGCATGAAGTTGGACGTTTTATATTGAGAAGATTGCATTGCTCTTATTAAGATTTGTCTAGATCTTGAAATAAGAATAATAATGTGTTTTGATGTACATTGAACGAGATCGCGTAGATGACTCATTTGTGATCATTCGAAATGAGACTCAACTAGATTATCAAATAAGTCACCTAAATTTTGAGCGAATAATGTACATTTGATTGCCAGTTCAAGTTATTTGAAGTACCAATGAGTGAAGTCTTATATAGAAGATTGAT